CAGGAGTTTGAGACCACCCTGGGCAACATGGTGAAACCCCATCTCTACTAAAAATACAAAAAATTAGCTGGGCGTGATGGCAGGCACTTATAATCTCAGCTACTTAGGAGACCAAGGCAGGAGAATCGCTTGAACCTGGGAGGTGGAAGTTGCAGTGAGCCAAACTGTGCCACTGCACTCCAGCCTGGGTGACAGAATGTGACTCTGTCTCAAAAAAAAAAAGGCAAGTAACAACAACAAAAATTTGATATGATTCAATTTATATCAATTTCAAAATAGGCAAGAGTAAACTGTATTGCTTAGGGAAGTATACATAGGTGGTAAAACAAAAAGCAAAGAAAAGATTATCACAGCCATCGTGTTAGTGGTTGCCTGGGAGCAGAGAGGAAATGTGATAAGGTGAGGCACTATGGTCACTTCTAAGCAATGTTCTATTTCTGAATCTGAGTGGAAATGTCAAAGCAAAACCAGAGCTGGACAATCGTTAAAGTGGTAAAAACAGATATTATACTCAGGACTATTGCAACAGGGGAAAAGACACTCCAATATAGGATTGGGCTCAATTCTGAATACAGCATGGTTAAATGGGCATTTATAGCCAAGGAGCAGGGTGGAGGTCAGTGGGTGAAAAATTACTAAGAGGAAATGCATCAGGGTAACAGAGATTCTGGTTAAATAGACCTCGTAGGATTCTAGCTGAAAACAAGCCAGCATGATCAGACATGATATGGGGGTTGGTAGAGGATGAGGAAGCAGATTAGATACAAAGCATAATCACATATGGAGGGTGGGAAATTTTTGTGAAACAGATTTAGCAGGGTTCTTGCTAAAATTGGATTTTATAAGGCAGTCACAGATAAGCCTATTAGGAGACTGAACCTTGTCATGAAAGGTTTGGCTGTGTCTCTACCCAGATCTCACCCTGTGGCAGGCCAGGTCTCACTAATGCAGACCTCCATAACAACTGTTTCAGTACTGACTGAGTGGTTAAGTTAAATATTGAAAGCCAGTGTCCTTATACAAAGGCTGGAATGTAACAAAAGCCCACCAAAAGTTTTGCCTAGGCCTTACCTGAACCTTAAATCATGATTAAACAAGTTTTACTGGAGGTCTTAAGAAATTCCCAAGGCCTCAACAAACAAGTTTATTGGGACTCCGAAGGAACTCCCCACACCTTTGTGACTTAGTAGGAGACAAGATAAGGGTACTCACCCAGTGCCTGGACTCATTTAGATCAAGATTAAGTAAATTTACAGAGGCTCCAGAGGAAGGTCTTCAAGACTCAGACCTTAGTTATAGATTAAAAAAGTTAATCACTTAAATCTTTAGATGAATGCACGCTTACACGTAGACATATAGCTTGGAAGGCATATAGGCTCTGGAAAACTTTGTAGTTTTGAGTTGGTCTGGTGGTAATTTCCAAGCCTTCTCCCTATAGCTGGTTACAGAAATAAAAACTCTCTTCTTCCCCAGTTCATCTGCATCTTGTTATTGGGCCATGAGAAATAGCGGCCTGACCCTTGGTTTGGTCCACGAACAATCTTGAATTGTAGTTGCCATAATCCCTATGTGCTATGTGGATGGACCCAGTGGGAGGTAATTGAATTACGGGGGCAGTTACAACCATGCTGCTGTTCTCGTGGTAGTAAGTTTTCACAAGATCTGATGGTTATATAAGGGGCTTTTCTCCCTTTGTTCAGCACTTCTAATTCCAGCTGGCATGTGAAGAAGGATGTATTCACTTCCCCTTCCACCATGCTGTAAGTTTCCTGAGGTCTCCCCAGCCTGTGGAACTGAGTCAATTAAACCTTTTTCCTTTAAAATTACCCACGAGTGGGCATGTCTTTATTAGCAGTGTGAGAACGGACTAATACATTAAATTGGTACCAAAGAGAGTGAGGTGCTGCTGTAAAGACACCCAAAATGTGGAAGTGACATTGGAATTGGGTAATGGGCAGAGATTGGAACAGTTTGGAGGGCTCAGAAGAAGACAGGAAAATGTGGAAAAGTTTAACACTTCCTAGAGACTTGGAGGGCTCAGAAGATAGGAAGATGTGGGAAAGTCTGAACTTCCTAGAGACTAGTGGAATGGCTTTGACCAAAACGTCTATAGTGATATGGACAATGAAGTCCAGGCTGAGATGGTCTCAGATGGAGAGGAGGAACTTGTTGGGAACTGGAATAAAGGTGATTCTTGATATGCTTTAGCAAAGAGGCTGGCAGCATTTTGCCCATGCCTTAGAGATCTGTGGAACTTTAAACCTGTTAGAGATGATTGAAGGTATCTGGCAAAAGAATTTCTATGTGGCAAAATGTTCAAGAGGAAGCAGAGCATAAAAATTTGGAAAATTTTCAGTTTGACCATATAATAGAAAAGAAAAACCTTCTGGGGAGAAATCCAAGCTTGCTACAGAAATTTGCATAAGTAACGGGGAGCCAAATGAGAATTATTTAGACCATGGGGGAATGTCTCCAGGGCATGTCAGAGACCTTCAAGGCAGCCCCTTCCATCACAGGTCCAGAGGCCTAGGAGGGAAAAATGGTTTTTGTGGGGCAGGCCCAGGGCTCCTCTGCTGTGTGCAGCCTAGGAACTTGGTGCCCTGTGTCCCAGCCACTCTAGCTGTGGCTAAAAGGGGCCAAGGTACAGCTTGGGCCATGGCTTCAGAGTGTGCAAGCTCCAAGCCTTGGCAGCTTCCACATGGTGTTGAGCCTGGGGTGCACAGAAATCAATAATTCAAGTTTGGGAACCTCTGCCTAGATTTTAGAAGATGTATGGAAACACCTGGATGTCCAGGCAGGTTTGCTGCAGGGGCAGTGCCCTCACTGCTAGGGCAGTGTGGAAGGGAAGTGTGGGGTTGGAGCCCCCCACACAGAGTCCCCACTGGGGCACTGATGAGCAGAGCTGAAGAGGGCCACTGTCCTCCAGATCCAGAATGAGAGATCCACCGTCAGCTTACAACTTGTACCCGGAAAAGCCATAGACACTCAATGCCAGCTGTGAAAGCAGCTGGGGTGGGGGGTTGTGCCCTGCAAAGCCATAGGGGTAGAGCTGCCCAAGGCTATGGGAGCCCACCTTTTGCATCAGTGTGACCTGGATGTGAGACACGGAGTCAAAGGAGATTACTTTGGAGTTTTAGGATTTAATTACTGTCTTGCTGGATTTTGGACTTGCATGAGGCCCATAGCCCCTTTGTTTTGGCCAATTTCTCCCATTTGGAACGGGTGTATTTACCCAATGCCTGTATCTCCATTGTATCTAGTAAGTAACTAACTTGCTTTTGATTTTACAGGCTCATAGGCAGAAGGGATTTGCCTTCTCTCAGATGAAACTGTGAACTTGGACTTTGGCTTAATGCTGAAATAAGACTTGGGGAACTGTTGGGAAGGCATGATTGTGTTTTGAAATGTGAGATGTAAGATTTGGGAGGGGCCAGGGGTTGAATGATATGATTTGGCTGTGTCCCCACCCAAATCTCATGTTGAATTATAGTTCCTATAAACCCCACCTGTTGTGGGAGGTAATTGAATTATGGGGACAGTTACCCTCATGCTGTTCTTGTGATAGTGAGTTTTCATGAGATCTGATGGTTTTATAAGGGGCTTTGCCCCCTTCGCTTGGCACTTCTCCTTCCTGTTGCCAAGTGAAGAAGGATTTGTTTGTTTCCTCTTCTGCCATGATTATAAGTTTCCTGAGGTCTCTTCAACTCTGTAGTACTGTGAGTCAATTAAACCTCTTTCCTTTATAAATTACCCAGTCTCGGGTATGTCTTTATTAGCATCGTGAGAATGGACTAATACAGGTGGTCAAGCAAAGAATCTTTGTCAGTGATAACATGAATGTTTTCTCATAATTAAATTGCAGATATATGTTTTATATTTTTCTGTATATATATTTCAAGATTCAAAATAATTTAGAAACGATTATTTGACTGGAAGGTGAATGGAAGAGAATATTAGGTAAAGGAATTTGTAGAATATGATATATGGTTCAGTGTTAAGATTTCTAGTTCTTTTTTAATTCTTTTAACTGCATTTCAAAGTGATTTTCATTCATCATTTACCCATTGTGTTAAGGCCATTTCTGTGTTGCTATAAAGAAATACCTCAGGCTGGGTAATTTATAAAGAAAAGAGATTTATTTTGGTTCACAGTTCTGCAGGCTGTATAGGAAGTGTGGTGCCAGCATCTGCTTCTGGTGAGGGCCTCAGGAAGCTTTCAATCATCGCGCAAGGCAATGGGGAGCCAAAGTATCATGTGGCAAGAGAGGGAGCAAGACAGAGAGAGAGGGAGGTGTCACACCTTTTAAAACCACCAGACCATGTGAACTCACAGTGAGAACTTACTTGTTACTGAAAGGATGGTGCCAGGTCCTTCGTGAGGGATCCACTCCTATGATATGAACACCTCCCACCAGGTCCCATCTCCACCACTTGGAATAACATTTCAACATGAAATTTGGAAGGGACAGACATCAAAACCATATCACTCATTCAATATTTATTCAGTCTTTTTAGTTGATGGCACTCTATTAGACCTTAGGACTACCCAGAAGAAAGGCTTGGTCTCTGAAGTCATGGCACTTAAAATCTAGTAAGGGTAAAATATGTACTGAAGGATGTCTAAGCTGAATGAAGAAGAAAGGGTTAAGACATTCCAGACAAGGGAAAGGCATGGGCCAGAAAGGTAAGGACACAGGCATTGAGAGAACAGGAAATGGGACTGGTTTTTCCAAAGGACAGCGTTGACATTAGAAAGTGCTGAGAGATTTGACTAAAGATGCAGGTGAGGGCCATATAATGACAGTTTTCTTATGATGTATTAGCTAGAAGTAAGTTTGGCTGAATACTCGCAATAATATGGGCTTAAAAGGAGAAAAGTTTATTGCTATGTCATTTAAAACCAGTCTGTGCAGGTAGTCTGGGCTGCTGTGAGTCAAGGATTCAGATTCCCTGTTTTTACTGCTCCCTGTTCAAACACAGTTAATAATTAGAGCAACATAGGACTTTAAAATAAAGGTGGTTTTATTATAAAATTCTAAAAATGTACTAAAAAGTACAGTCATGAGAATACTGCATCATAAGTAGAAATGTATCTTCATACTGCAAATAATCACACAGCAGATTTTATATTGTCCATGGAATTAATACTTAAAAAAAATTCTTCTTTTTGGTGAAGAAGAGTCTTCAGAGCACCAATATTTTAATAGAAGTTACTTTGCATATCAGAGTTCATCTTTGGTCTGCAATTAAGAAGCAAAATATTCATAGCTATCAAGAGGTCTTACATGAGTGAAGATTTACATTAATTTGTTAATTATTTTCCTGTAAAAATGAGAGGAAGCCAAACTGTTGGTAGAGGCTCTTAGGGCTTGGGACTATTTCTAGAGGTCTAGAGTCAGCTTAGGGTAGAATCAGATTGTGTTTCATAGCCTACCGATAAGGAACCGAAACATCCATGGGCTGTACTACTGCAAAGACCTCGTGTTATGAACAGTAGCAGTGAAAGGTTAGGATGAAATAAAGAGGCTACCATTCTGGCCCCTAACTTCTGCTAATCAGTGGAAGACACTGACTGTTACCTTCTCTCAATCACTTAGATGAAGACAAATAATTGAGCAGGAGTGAAGCAAGGAAGCTGCCCAGTCTCACTTGGAGCCAAAGTGAGAAGTGTTCTGATACCAAATCACGGACTGGTGAGGGGGTACCTTTTGATTTGGCAATTCTTGTTTTGTCATTGGTTTTAACGGATTTTTACGGCCTTGGAGTACTGATGGAGTTAACAGCGGTGATGAGCCACCTCTGGGGGCCAGTTGGTTATTCATAAATCGGTTCTCCAAAAAACAAAGATAAAAATAAAACCACCAAAATTCTGATTTGTAGCATGTGCTGTCATGGTGTAAATACTCCTATCAGGCTGATTCCAAGCAAAAATTTAATCAGTATGCAAAATTCCTGAAAATTTAACAATGGGTGAGCTCATATAAGCTGTTCTGGTTCTGTCACATCACTGGGGCTTTGATTACTTTTACACCCTCTTGAGAGGTAGACATAATAATTGCCAAGTCTGTCTTCTTGTCTTTGGTTGTAACACCACAATTTTGAATTGGTCCATTCAGAAACCTAATTATATTGCTTAAGATAATGTCAAGCCAGCATATGTCACACACATATACACTCTAGTTTATGCAATTTACATTCCTTTGAACAAACAAAATTCATAATCAAAGCAACAGACCCCTGCTACACTATGTCTTTATATACAAGCACACACAATCACAATCTGATGATGAGAGACTGGTTTTTGCTTTGCTATAAACCAGCTATACGATTCTGAGCATAATTCTTTTTTGGGCTCAGTTTTATTAACCATAAAACAAAGGCATTTACTGAATGACCTCTAAGGTCCTTTTTACCTTCAAAGTCCAGATGTGAATCTGACTTTCATTTTTATCAATGAGATCTTTATGTATTGGTATCAACAGAGATGATTTTCCAATGAGGAATTGGAAAACATCAATAATCACAGTTACATCTTTTTCCTTCTCTAAACTGGGATGATGAACTTTGTCAAACTTATCTCCTGAGGAAATAAGGGCATCAGATAATACGCATGAAAATATTTTCCAAACTGTAAGCATCCATTCAAATAGGGTGTGAGCCAGATTCTCACATTATAAAAGGCTTCCCTCCACTTTGCCAGGGAATGACCATGTCTTCTCAATTAACTGCATTGTAGCATCCTTTCTTGAGCACTGCTATCTTCTTTTTTTTTTTGAGACGGAGTCTCGCTCTTGTTACCCAGGCTGGAGTGCAATGGCGCGATCTCGGCTCACCGCAACCTCCACCTCCTGGGTTCAGGCAATTCTCCTGCCTCAGCCTCCTGAGTAGCTGGGATTACAGGCACGTGCCACCATGCCCAGCTAATGTTTTGTATTTTTAGTAGAGACGGGGTTTCACCATGTTGACCAGGATGGTCTCGATCTCTTGACCTCGTGATCCACCCGCCTCGGCCTCCCAAAGTGCTGGGATTACAGGCTTGAGCCACCGCGCCCGGCCCTACTGCTATCTTCTATACCTGTCTCTCTGGTGGTCTGAATTGCTTGGAGGCCTCGAGAGGAAGTCAAATATTTGCAGCCTGATTGAGTGACCATAGGAATGAATGCAAGCTTGGATCAAGGTTAGTTCTTACTCTGCCACTGGCCACAAGCTCATTTGTGGTTACCTTTTTCCTGTGGCAAGTGCAAGGGAAGAGGTCCTCCTCGGTCTGTGGTTCTACCCTTTTCATGCCCTCTCGGATTTGGGGTTCACTCACTTGTAAACTGGCATATTCCTGTTTAAGTAACAATATAAAAGCATTCCTTATATAACACTTTAAGTATATCCACCCAAAGAGACAGGCTAGAATTTATGAAGACTATGATTTATTTGATTTATGTGTGTCAAACTGTGATCTGCATAGTCCATCATATACACCTGTCCTAAACACCAACAGTAGAGCACCTGAGAGGAGGCTGTCCTTTGACCGCTGCCTATTCCTAACAGACATCTCATTATTCTATCCTAAATTTCCATGACTTTTTTTTAAACCATCTTCTGCCTTACAGTAAAAATAATTTTGCACACAATCTTCCCTGGACTGAGAATGTGGGGACAGAGACTATTCTGCTTTCCTTATCATGGTTTGCACAAAACGCCATCATCATCTTCAATTATCATGTGCTTACTCTTAGTAAGGCACTGTGCTAAGTACCTATGCTAAATACAAGCTGAATGAATGATCACTGCCTCATGGATCCTTACAAATTCACATGATAAATCCCCCCAGTTCATTCATTTTACATGGCTTATCCTCTGCATCCCTCCATCAAGGGAAGTTTACAAAATGGGGAGGAGCCAGTGCAGACCAGAAATATTCCAATTTTGATGTATAGCAGAGTCTCAGATATGGGGCTCAGTAGCAGTAACTGCAAGATAAAAATCTTGCTCTAGATCTAGTACTATTATTGGCCAAGAGCTTGTTTACTACTGCATTAAAAAAAAAAATTTTTTTAGACAGAGTCTCCCTCTTGTCACCCAGGCTGGAGTGCAGTGGTGTGATCTCGGCTCACTGCAACCTCCACCTCCTGGGTTCAAGTGATTCTCCTGCTTCAGCCTCCAGAGTAGCTGGGATTATAGGCATGCACCATCACACCTGGCTAATTTTTGTATTTTTAGAGGAGACGGGGTTTCACCATGTTGGCCAAGCTGGTCTCGAAATCCTGACCTCAAGTGATCTGCCCGCCTTGGCCTCCCAAAGTGCTGGGATTACAGGCATGAGCCACCGCGCCTGGTCACTACCACATTTTTAAAAGAGTCCTTTAAATCGTCAAATACGCTTGACTACAATCTCTAAATGCTTGGGTCCATAGAAATAATTTCCAAGGGAAGTCCTGGCTCATATGGAGGCCCAAACACACCTGGCACTGTTTAGACAAAGAAACGGTAAGGCAGCAGCAATGTAACACAAAGAGAAACTGCAAATCCATGAACCATAACTTTGCAATATCGGAGGCCAATTTCTTAGTCAAACATCACATAGTTCTAATATTAATACTTTTCACTTAATATTGTAATATTTTCCATTAGTTAATCTTTGGTTTTCAACTTTTTAAAAATGATTACTTAATATTTGTCCCTGATTTTCACCCACAGAAGTATATATATATATATATCTCCTTAGAGTAACATATGTTTAGAAATTGTTAAGTAAAATATTATTTGTTCTTAACATGTCTAATTATAAGTTATATGATGATTTTCTTAGGAAATACTAACCTGGAAAAGTTTGAAATAATAACAGAATATGTCATCGCCCATGAGATTATTTCTTGCAAATTCTTGTCCTGCTTTTGCTATCTTTTTGGCCTACAGAAAGAACAACAACAAAATTCTTTTATAGAATCCATTTTTCCCATGCAGGCATCTGCAGACAGCTCTTCAGAGTACATACACATTGGGACAATTGCGGGAAACAGTATCTTTGCGGGTAGTCTTGTGGTAAAACAGAGTGTTTAACACAGCATGTTTATTTAAATCAGAGGGAAGTTTCTAAGACTCAAAAGTTTGAGAAATCATGTTGGACCTTCTAGAATTAAGCCTTAGAGAGACAAGGCTACACCAAGCAAAATAACAATGATTTTGTAAACGCAAGATGGAAGGTTAGCACTCTGCCTTCACAAATTTCAGCAATTAGCTTAAAGTTAATTGCATTCCATCCCTCTTTACTTATTTATACATTTATGTCTGCATCTACTTGTGAATCAATCCTTCATTTGAACCTGTAGCCAGTTAGTGGCTCCTGCCAGACTGGCCATCTTATAAATTTTTGCATTGCTGGTGGAGGCAATACTTGTGGCTCAGAGCAACCCTACTGAAAAGAGAAAGTGTAGTCAATGTCACAGTTTAGCTTTTTGTTGTTGTTGTTTTGAGAAGGAGTTTCGCTATTGTTGCCCAGGCTGGAGTGCAATGGTGCAGTCTTGGCTCACTATAACCTCCGTTTCCCAGGTTCAAGCAACTCTCCTGCCTCAGTCTCCTGAGAAGCTGGGATTATAGGCGCCTGCCACCAAGTCCAGCTAATATTTGTATTTTCAGTAGAGATGGGGTTTCACCATGTTGTCCAGGCTGGTCTCGAACTGACCTCAGGTGATCTGCCCTCCTCGGCCTCCCAAAGTGCTGGGATTACAGGTGTAGCCACCATGCCTGGCCTAGCTTTTTGTTTCACATGCAGAGTGGACAGTTAATGTAAGATGCAGTGTCTGCTGTGTTCAGCCCAGGGGAACTGCTGTGCCATCCACCGGCAGGCAGCTTGCCATTTACAGGTCAAAGTCTATGATGTGAGCATCCTGGATGCTCTACAGGGACAATACATTTCAAAGGGACCCATGATAGTGGGAAACAAGTGGAAATAAGCCTTCGAGGGACTAACCTTACCTCTTCATCGTGATCTTTTGCCCATTTAAGTTTTTCTAGCAGATCGCTCAGGTTGCTCTTAACTGGAATGTAGTGTTTCCAGGGCTGCAGCTCATTGTAAAAATGTTCATAGTAGATGGAGTCCTGCTTCAGCACAACACTGTCACCAACTAGTAAATATGGCAGGCGATAAGCTGCTACAGTACCATCGATATTTATTTGATACTTATGCTGCAAAACAATGGTAAAGTCTAAGAACCTCCATTAAATTTCCTTTTCTCCACTCGATTCGCCTTCTCATCCCACACATACACCCTTGCAACCCTCGGACACAATTTGGTCAGCTTCTGTCCTCCGCCTTTGCCATTTAGTAAGTATTATACAACAGGTTGATCTAAAGCTAAATGCTCATTTTGATTTGCTACTAAATTTTACAAAGGAGGATACAAATCTAGTGTTGAAGGAGCCAATAAGATCATACTGTTGTCCTAAGGCTGCAACATAAGGAAGAATGGATTTATTTGTGATATTTTGTAATTCTCTTACTACTTTATTGATTGCAAACGTGCCCCTCATGATGGCATATTCTAAGCCATGTTAACTGTTTTATTTATTTATTTATTTATTTATTTATTTATTTGTTTGATCGTTTCGAGAGAGTTTCACTCTGTTGCTCAGGCTGGAGTGCAGTGTCACGATCTCAGCTCACTGCAACTTCTGCCTCCTGGGTTCAAGTGATTCTTGTCCCTCAGCCTCCCAAGTAGCTGGGATTACAGGCATGCACCACATGCCTGGCTAATTTTTGTATTTTTAGTAGAGACAGGGTTTCACCATGTTGGCCAGGCTGATCTCGAACTCCTGACCTCAGGCGACCCACCCACCTCAGCTTCCCAAAGTGCTGGGATTACAGGTGTGAGCTGGGATTACAGGCATGAGCCACTGTGCCTGGCTAACCATATTTTTTAAACACCAGATGGCCACACATGTGTCTTAAAGAAATTAGCAAGCTTTGTAGCAAGAACGTCTATGAATAAAAATATTCATAGAACTTTGGTAATTTATCATCTTTAGTTGCATAAACACGAATAAAGCCAAGGCATGAAACAGCGCCCTACACTGAGGAAGGATGGCTAGTATCCTTTCACTTTGGTTACAATCATTTCTTTCAAAAATCATTGAGATATACATATTGAAAAATACTGACAATTCAACTTATAACATTCTTTAGGTCAACCTACCTCAACATAACCCATCAAAAGAAAACCTGGTCATCCACAGGGCAGGCAGAACTCACTAATCACTTGCCTTTCCACATATAGAGGACAGATGGCGACCTTTTCCCCACCTCCTCTCTCTACCATGTGGGACTTCAGAAACAACTCTATGGTCTAAAAAGCAGGGTTCTGCCTACTGCCTTAAAAAGGGAGTTTGTTAGAAAAAAGATTACTCCCTGGGAAACATGAGCAATCCACATTCTAGACACATAAAGCAAGCCCTAATTCCCAGGCAGAACACTGGATGGGTTTCAAGTCATTCCCCACCAGGCCTAAAAACAAACAGTTTATATCTTACTTACTCTGTTGTGATAACATGGCTCTGGGGAAAAGTATTTGTAAAATGACCTACATGTATGTATTAATAAAAACGAATTTGGAGGTGACATGTACTTATCTCAAGGGTTAGCTGGAAAAAAAAAATTACAGCTCTATCCAGGCTCCAAACTCCCTTGATACACATTTAATGTCAAGACTGAGGGCAGAGCCTGGTTGCCAAACTAGTCCCCAACACCGCCATGCCACAATATTCACTGTTTTATGCTTATTTCTCCCACCTCTTGTAATTTGCAGGCCTCTACTTCCCTTCCCAAAGCACTACGTACAAATACATTACAAAACAAAAAAGATTAGCCACTGATTAAGTCATACCTTGAAGAAATCAAAAAATGAAATGTGCTTTACAATGGGACCATATAGGCTTTCATTGTGTTTGAAGAAGAAAAAGTTGGTGAAAGCAGCATCTATGAGTTCTGGGTGTCTTCTACTGAGTTTAACTAGCTCGAGTCTCTCTTTGCGGCTGTCTCGCCCTCTCCAGAGAGCTGTGGAGTTTTTGCTTTCCCAGGGCGGACCCGTGTTAGCTTGCACAGACATCATATCCAGACTTACCCTAGAAGACAAAGTGCAAAAGATTTTCCTCCCAAATCATCCTATCACAAAGGTTGTTGGAAAAGAACTCACCAAAGAAAGAAAACCAAGGCTCTGGGCCAACCCTGACTCATCCCTCACCGGCCCATGGTTTCTAGAACAGAGTCAGTCAAGTCGTAGGTGGGCATCACGATATCCTTGGAATCTGTGGAGCCACACCAGGAAAAGATTGGATGGATGTTTGAATTGGATTTCTTTTTCTCCAAAGGCCAGTCTCCCAAATTAACAAAGAACTCCACATCTGGCATCTTCACCTAGAAAAAACAAAACAAAGAGCTTATTTGCATTTCCTGCATTAGATAATACAGGAAATACATTGTATAAATACATTGTATTTATCAATTGAAATTTGAAGTTGCATTAATGAAAGGCCAATGTAACATTTTTCAGGTAATGATAATTACGTTGGTTTGAAAAGTGGGTACATTTTCAGAATATGGTCACATATATAAACATTCTATGCTCCCTACAAAAGATATGAAATGGCAAAAGTAATCTCTGTGCTAATACTGTCAAGAGACTCTAAGATGATCAAAGAAAGAAAGAGAAATATTGGAAAATAATTTAAAAATTAGCACTTGGGACTCTAACCCTAGTTTCTTGTAAGTGAGCCACAAGCTTCCATTTTACAAAAACATACACAAGGTAGGTGGTGGGACCAGGATTCGAACTCAGGAACCCTAACACCAAGGCCAACTCAGTAAGTTTCAAGCTATGCTTCCTTCCTCTACTGGCAACAGGCATGAATATGTAAAGAGGACCTGTTTTATCTACTCACAGAAAATGTTTAGCATATTTATGAAACAAGAGATACATATTTTTTTTTTTTTTTTGAGATGGAGTTTCGCTCTTGTTCTGCAGGCTGGAGTGCCATGGCGCAATCTCGGCTCACCGCAACCTCCGCCTCCTGCGTTCAGGCAATTCTCCTGCCTCAGCCTCCTGAGTAGCTGGGACTACAGACACGCGCCACCATGCCCAGCTAATTTTTTGTAGTTTTAGTAGAGACGGGGTTTCACCATGTTGACCAGGATGGTCTCGATCTCTTGACCTCGTGATCCACCCGCCTCGGCCTCCCAAAGTGCTGGGATTACAGGCTTGAGCCACCGCGCCCGGCCAAGATACATATTTTTAAGGCCAGAACAGCACTGATCAGTCTGAGATGCATTTTGAGAAACTGAAGCCCTGAAGAACATTCTCATTTTCCCATGGATTGACAGAGAGGGGCAAGAGAAGTGCGTCAGTACTCTCATGTCTTAGTCTAAAGGAGACAATACTGATGCTGTATAACTACCTACATTCAGAATTGACAGACTGCAAGTGCTTCGAAATCTTGAAAAGGCACTATGATTTTCCATGAGTAGTTTAATCAAGATATGCATACAAATTATTCAATCAATATTATACTAGACTATAAATAAATATACATTTGGTAAAAATGTTGGTACAGTCTTTCACATCTGCCAGTATTCCACCAGAGCCTGACAAAAGCCCATTATCCCAAGGAATGGATTCGGTAGAAGGCAAGTCCTCTTTGGACTCCAAGTTAGTTTAGTACCGAAATGATGTTATGATAAGGCATTTTTCTTTCCTTTATCAAATATTGTGTCCCTGCAAAAGATATGCTGAAGTCTTATATCCTAGTGTTTCAGAATGACCTTATTTGGAAATAGGGCAGTTGCCCACGTCACTAGTTAGGGTGAGATTATAGTGGAGTAGGCTAGGCCATTAATCCACTATGCTGCGTCCTTATAAGAAGAGACCCAGGGACATGAGGGGAGAAGCCCGCGTGATAACAGAGGCAGAGATGAGGGATGCAGCTGCAAACCAGGGAACACCAAAGACGGAGAGCCACCGCCAGCAGTTAAGAAGAGGCAGGAAAGGAAAGGATCATCTCAGAGGCAGCTGGGCCTCCTGACACTTACCTTTTTTTTTTTTTTTTTTTTGAGACAGGGTCTCACTGTCTCCCAGGTAGGAGTACAGTGGCGCAATCAATCTTGGCTCATGCAGCCTCGACCTCCTAGGTTCAAGCTATCCTCCTGCCTCAGCTCCCCAAGTAGCTGAAACTACAGCAGGCTAATTTTTGTATTTTTTGTAGAGATGGGGTTTCACCATGTTACCCAGCCTGGTCTTGAACTCCTGGGCTCAAGTGATCTACCCGCCTTGGCCTTCCAAAGTGCTAGAATTACAGGTATGAGCCATGCCACCTGGCTGACATTTTGATTTTGGACATTTGGCCTCAATACCTGTGAGACAATACATTTCTGCTATTTTAAGCCTTCCAGTTTATAGCACTTTGTTATAACAGCCCTAGGAAGCTAACACAGGTATCTGACATAACATAAAGCTTCAAAATAACATTATCATAAGGCTCCAGAAGAGAACACCCCGATAGTGTTATAATTTGTATTTGGAAAAATTGTTCTATAAAATCTGGGATTAAATGATCTATTATAGCTAAGAGAAAATATATACTTACCTTTCTAGTCAAAGAAAGTAGTATGGCATCCATGAAAATTCTAAAACCTACATGTTCACCATGAGTCTTGATATAAACCTAAAAGAGAATTTACCATGTATTATGTTAGTCTAAAAACACTGGCAGATTTCACTGAGGAAAAGCTAGTTACAAGGCTCATTAGAATGATGCTTACAGAAGGAGTTAGCTAATTATAGCCAAATGTTCAAAACGAGCAAAAAAAAAAAATAAAATAAAACCAAAAAAACACTAAAACAATCAAGGAAACCTGAACTGTATGTTGTACCTTGTTATCCTTTAAGGTGTAGTGACAGAGGCTCTGCCTCTGTCCAAATCTTTTTGGGATTTCTACTGCAATCTTTTCTGGATCCACTATGGGGAAATGTGCCAGATCTCTCTGAATCTGAGCAATGGTTTCCGGGCAGTTCATCCCCCGTAGCCAGGCTGCACTATCTTGCAAAGGACAGTCACAATTCTCATGGTAAACCGGCCCTATTTACAAAAGAACAACAAAGTACAACAGAGATAATTTCACTCAGCATTTGAAACTTGTAACAAACACCCATAATGTGGCTTCACGAGTTTTGCCTAGTTACATAAGAGCATTTTCATTGAAAACACATTTTAAAAGAAACACAGGCCAGCCAGGTTGGCTTGCACTTGTAATCCCAGCACTTTGGGAAGCTGAGGTGGGAGGATAGCCTGAGCCCAGGAGTTTGGGACCACCTTGGGCAACACAGGGAGACCCTGTCTCTACAAAAAATAAAAAATTAGATGGGAGTAGTGGCAGGCAGCTGTGTTTCCAGCTACTTGGGAGGCTGAGGATCACTTGAGCCCAGGAGGTTGAAGCTGTAGTGAGCCACATTTGCACCACTCCACCCTGGGCAAGACAGTGATACAGTCTCAAAAAAAATAGTAACACATTTTTACTACACTGGGGGCATTGGAAGTAAGTCAGCCTTCTGTTCTGACAGTTCTTCACTGTAAAGTCTTGTGATATTTTCATGATAAGGTCGACTTTGCATGAGTTCAAAAGAAAGCAGATAGCCATGCCGAAGTGGCTCAAGTCTGTAATACCAGCACCTTGGGAGGCCCAGGTGGGCGGATCACTTGAGGTCAGGAGTTTGAGGCCAGCCTGGCCAACATGTTGAAACACCATCTCTACTAAAAATGCAAAAAAAAGTGCTAGGTGTGGTGGCTCACACCTGTAATCACAGCACTTTGGGAGGCCAAGGCGGGCGGATCACCTGAGGTCAGGAATTTGAGACCAGCCCGGCCAACATGTTGAAACCTCATCTCTACTAAAAAATACAAAAATTAGCCAGGTGTGGTAGATGCGCCTGTAATCCCAGCTACCCAGGAGGCTGAGGCAGGAGAATTGCTGGAAGCCGGGAGACGGAGCCACTGAGATTGTGCCACTGCACTCCAGCCTGGGCGATTGAGCAAGATTCCGTCTCAAAAAAA